CAATTGAGCCACTCTACCTTGTAAACTTCTTGTCGCCTGGCCCAACACATTTTTCTTCTCACCTGAAGACAAAAGTGCAGTCTCCTTTATGCGACTCAGCGCTGTTAGATCGAGTGCGAATAGGTTGCAAATAAAATCAAGGCAACATCTGCTTGCAGGGTAGCTCTGAAAGATCTTCAGAGAAATCAAGTCTTTCACTATGAATAACAAACACACAACACTTAAACCATTGGATGCAGATTGAGGTCGATTATGCGAAACAGCAAGGTAGTGTAACATCAAAAACTGTGTTCTTATTGGTTCCAAACTTGAAATAAGTACATGTAGCTACTTGTGGAGGTTCTTCTGAAAGGGTCGTTAAGGCCAGGCTTACAGGCTATATTCTTCAACGTTTACCTTGCCAAAATGGAGTCAAGGCCAAATGCGGAGTATGAGGATCCAGGTACTGTTAAGGCTTGATTTCTGCTGCTTTCTCAAGTCCGGTCTATGTTCCTCCTCGAGAAGAGATGGCTGGACGCATGAGTGGCAAAGCATGTCTGTGACACAAATTCATAATTTACTTTTTGCGGCGCTTCAGGTGGCCAGAAATATCATCTGATGACAACCATAGGCAGGCCCACATGACGCCTACGGCTCGTAAAATTTGTGACGTTTTCGCCACTTCTTCTTTTCATTTTGGCCCTCCAACCTGTAGTTTGTTTCACATTATTGTTGTGGAAGGGAAATACATGCTGTGTTCTATAGAAGAGTTTTTTTTTTTCAAGTAGAGCAGAGCTGTTCGACTATGGTGTAGCAACTGTCATGTAAAAGGTCAGATATATGTTGTATGATTTGCATGGTGTTGACACCATGTTATGTTTTGCCAGTTCAGTTTGCTTTGGCTCACTTAAAAATTTAATTTTGTCTGGCTTCACCAGAGACTGGTGTCACTTCCCTTCAAGAAGACTACCATACACATCAATTTGACTGAGTGTTTTGTTTCTTGAGATCGACGTTTGCATTTATCCCTCTTTTTGTTGACTTTCTTCATTATCTGACATTCTGGCACCACATGATTCAAATATAGATTCTAACACATAGGTCTATTGACTATTTTGCGTGTTGTATATGCCACTATGGTTTAG